TGTTTACCTTCTTTCATATTGTAATTGTTTTGATCATAGACTGACCTCCCAGATCCTCTGTTCTTATCATTTTATTCTGTTCTTGATTCTTCCATTTGTCGACTGAGTTCAGGTTGATGCTGCCACATACGTCATTCTATAGTTGTTGTCTGTTCTTGTTGGTTCTCAGTCCACAGAACTTCCTTTAGGATGTTTTTCATAGTAGGGTTAGCTTTGGAAAAATCCCTTAGCATCTGTTTATCCTGGAATGTTTTGATTACACTATCGTATTTGATTGACATTTTTGCTGGGTAGAGAATTCTTGGGTGGAAGTTTTTTCTTTCAGGGTTTTATATATGTCTCCCCATTGCCTTCTTGCCTGCATGGTTTCTGTTGAGATATCCGAGCTTAATTTGATTTGCTTGCCTTTGTATGTTTTATTTCTCTTTTCCCTAGCTGTTTTCAAGATCCTTTCTTATCTTTGATTTTGGAGAGCTTGATTATTATATGTCTTGGTGATTGTCTTTTAGGGTCTGTCCATCCTGGGGTTTGTTGAGCATCTTGAATGCTTATCTTTTCACTTTTCAGGATGTTAGGAAAGTTTTCTTCCAGAAGCGCTTCAATTATCTCCTCTGTGGACTCGTGTGATTGCTCCTGTTCTGGAATGCCAATAATTCTTATGTTATTCCTCTTCATGTTATCCAACATGAATTTTAGGCCTTCAGGTTTTTAAATCCTTTTTTGTGTTTGCTCTTCTATCTTAGTAGTGTTGAGAGATTTATCTTCTAGTTCACTAGTTCTGGCTTCTGTCTCTTCAGTTCTACTCCTTTGCCCTTTCAATGTATTGTCCATTTCTGATATTCTGTTATTAATCATTTGGACCCCTTTCTGTAGGTTTTGAATTGTTTCCAGTGCTGTATTTATCTTATTTGATTGTTCCTATAGTGATTTCCTGACTTCTTCTTTATTTTTCTCAACTCCATTGTATAGTGTTTTGATATATTTTATAATCATTTTTCTGAATTCCTTCTCAGGCATTTCCAAAGCCTGCCCATCTTCCAGTATGGAGTGTAGGTCTACTTCCAGTTTATTTGCCTCAGTGACTTTATCTTTTCTGAACATGTGCAGATATGGTCATCTGCTTCTGTTTTTTGGGCATATTTAGGGGTTATCTGTGGCCTTAATACTTAGATGGGTATGTATTTTGGTATTTATCATGCTTTCTGATTGCCTCCAGGTAGATGTGATCAGGAAATGGGCTTCCCTTTTCACTCTTCTTGAGAAATTTCAAGATGTCACTGTTGGTCGTTTTGACGTAACTTAGGATTTAATTTTCGGCCTATTTCCTTTTTTGTCTGCTTGTCCTGCTCCCCAATCCCCGTTCAGGCCCTTTTTCTAATTATAAACAGTACATGGCTGGCTGTGGCCGTTTGGTTTTAAGTGGAAACTGTCTCTTTAAATTTCGAGGAGATCTGTGCACATGCGAAGTAGAACCCTCTGAGGTGGGGCTCAGGTGTCCTCTAGCTCAGGCACCCCTATAGTCACCAGAATGAAGGTGCTCAGACAGCAAGGGACCAATGAACAGATACCAGAAGAAAAGAATGTCCACACCTTTATCTCTGCGGTTCTGCCAGGCGTCTGTGGCCGCTCTCATCCTTTCCCCACTTGTTCTCACCCAAGATGGCAGCTCCTGGAGCAACTGAGCTTCCCAAACTAGAAAACAATGGATTTCTTACTTCTGCCACAGATTCCCCCAGCTGTAAGCCTTCCAACCTTCTAAATATTCCTTTATATGTGATTCAGACTTCTGGGACCATCTCCTGATCCTGCTTGGTCAGGTATTCTGTGTTGTGGCTGACGAAGCTCCTTACTGCACTTTCACCCGATCCGCCATCTTGTTTGTTCTCTTCTAAGCTATATGTCTTTTAAATACAACTTTATAGATATAACATACTTAAATTTCTGATGTCCAAAAATAATAGTAAATAAGCATGGCATGGTTGTTGTTAAGCACCATCAAGTCTGTTCTGTCCCATAGCAACCCTGGATAGGGTTTCGAAGGAGCGGCTGGTGAGCTTGAACCACCAGCCTTGCAGTTCAAATGGCTTTGCAGTCTGGCACATTAACCCACAGTGCCACACCAGGACTCCGAAGCGTGGCATGGTAGATGAGGTTATATGATTGTCATAGAGGGTCTGGAGTGTCTTGACTTTGCCCTTTAATAGACACTTGAATAGAATCTGTAACAAGTAGTATTCGAAAGGAGCACTCTGGGCACTATAGGATAAGCACTGGACTTCTAACCATAAGGTTGTTAGTTGGAGTACACTAGCCATTCCGAGGGAGAAAGATGAGGCTTTATGTTCTCTTAAAGATTTATAGCCTTGGAAACCCTACATAGGGTCACTAAGTTGGAACCGACTTGTTGGTACATAGCAACAACAACCACAGTATACCATAATCTTAATATCTAAAATGTAACACTCAAAATGTTAGAAACTCAACACTAGAAATTGATTTCTTGCCAACCTACTAGTCCAATGTGAGGGTTCCTCATTGGCAGACAGTATTCCTGAACTTGGTGCCACCCAGGATTTTAGAATTCTCTTCCATCAAGAATTAGCTGCAAGGAAGGCTGGTAAAATGATATATTCTGGAGGGAATTGTGGACTTTTGTAGAAAATCATCTCAATTATAATGATAAGTAAAGTGAAGCCACTTAGAAGGCTGTTAAACTGATGACACGACTAAGCTGTGACTGCTGCCATGTATTTTAATTATTCTAATCCTGAACATTTTCCATATACTGCTTAGAATGTAAAATTCTTTTTACTGCTTGTTTGAAAAGACAACAAATTAAAAAGAGATGTGGGGTCACTGTGTGTTTCTGCTCCGCCAGCAGTGCATGCATCTACTACTCCCCTGCCAGCTTCTGGGACCATGGCCAACACAGAGCGCACCTTCATCACCCTCAAGCTAGAGGGTGTACAACGTGGCCTAGGGGGCGACATCATCAAGCACTTTGAGCAGAAGAGATTCTGCTTTGTGGCCATGAAGTTCATGAAGACCTCCGAGGTGTACCTGAAGGAACATTACATTGACCTGAAAGGACCACCCATTCTTCCCAGGGCTAACAGAGTTGGTGGCCATGATCTGGGAGGGAGTGAATGTGGTGAAGACAGGTTGAGTTATTCTTGGGGAGACTAATCCAGCGGATTCTAAGCCTGGCACCATTTGTGGAGATTTCTGTTTTCAGGTTGGCAGGAGCATCATTCATGGCAGTGATTCAGTTAAAAGTGCTAAGAAAGAAATCTGTTTCTGGTTTAAGCCAGAGAAATTGGTTGACTACAAGTCTTGTGGCCATGACTAGATATGTGAATAAGAGTGGACAAAACAGCAACCCCTCAGCCTTTGTTACAGCTCTTCATTCCAGAGATTTGGAAGTGGTGGGATACTGAGGATCCTTTCCTAAATCACATTTACCAGTAAAGCTTTTGGAAACTGAGGGGCGGGGGAGGAATTTTTTTCTAACTTTGCAGAGTTTTAAATGGGTCAGCATTTCTATAAAGGATTATCTGTTTCAATTGACCCTTGGGTATTTGAGCTCAAATAAACTGCAGCACTCACACTCCTTTTTAAATATCCTGTGCCAACTTATTTTGGGGCTCCCTGGGTGAAGCAAATGGCTAAGCACTGGACTGCTGCCCAAAGGTTGGTGGTTCAAACCCATCCAGCATCACTTTGGGAAACAGTCGTGACAGTCTGTTTCTGAAAAGTCATAGCTTTGCAAACTATGTGGAATAGTTCCACTCTGCACACATGAGGTCACTAAGAGTTGGAATCAGCTTGATAGCAGCTAACAACAACACTAACCAAAAAATTCATGTGATATCTTAAATTTACTTGACATAGTTTTTTTTATCCAAAGTCTCCTTAATTTCTACCAAATGACTGGGTGGACGATGCAAATAGGGTGTATAGGGCTCTACTACCAGCATTGGTTAATTTTGCCATCCCACTAGATTTAAAAGGAGCCATCTCAGAAGCAGAAACAGGTTACCTCAGGATCATAAAGAAAGGCAGAGCAGCAAGAGCAGAGGCAGTGGCATGGAGAGACAGCAGTTGCAGGCTTCTAGGCCCATGGATCGAGTAAAGCTGAATGCCTATGAACAGGAGGTTGGCTTGAAGAATGTGCCTTTTGTGCATTTACAAACTGGCTAAAGGAACTTTGTAACACTTGCCCAACTATGGCAGAGACCAAAGGACCATATGGCTGAGAGACCAAATACAAAGGTGAATTGTATGGTACATGAATTAAATCTCAATAAGAAAAAGGAATACATTAGGTTATGATTTCATTTGGGAGGTTTTTGGTGGACTAAAAAGTGGTAGAAAGTAAAAGTATGTCTAATTGGTCATCTAACCTACCAGCCGCACCCTAGTCCACATCTCTTGGTATTATGCAGATCCTACACCCACTTATACTCATCACTCGGAATATAAATTCACAGGCTGATATGAGAACGGTATTGCAGCAATGGGAATCAGCAAGTTTTCACAGGAAGCTGTCTGAAATATCATTTATTTTCATGGTTCTTGTGACAAAATTGAAAAAACAAAATCATTGGTGCTTTTGAAAGATGGAAGCCACTAATGAACTCTTCTAACAGTAAAGGAGAAATAAAGCCTTTGCAGAAGATCAGAATTTGTCAACAAATTTTGTTATGAAGATTGTTGGTTAATTCAAATGATTGAGTAATATTCCAGAACCTAATGAATGAAGAAGCATATAAGATAAATATGTTCAGGAGTGAAAATGGAACCATCAAATAAGCAATCTGAACAACTTCACCTAACAGAGTTTATCTTCTATTAGTAACTAGTAGACACTTAAAAAAGAAAATTAAGCAATCTCTATGAAAAAAACAGGCACTTTCTTGGTAACTGTGGTATTAAAGGAGTACTGGTGTGGCGCTGTAGGATAAGCGTTGAATAGCTAACCACAAGGTTGGCAGCCATTCCTTGGAAACACTACAGGGTCATTGTGATCTGGAACCAAGGTGACAGCACTTAGTTACTACTACTACTTACTATGGTATTGAAAAAAAATCCTTTTACAATTTGTGTCTGTTGGACATCAACCTAGGATTTGTGTTTCTAAGATAAAGTCTATAATATTTAGAATTCATAATATCCTTAATAAAAGTTAATTCTAAGAACATATATTTTTAGGGCAACATTGTTACCTGTTTAAAGACCTCTTAAAAAAATAACATGACTACTGCTTAAATATATTCCTGAGTATGTACCGGTATACTTAATTTATAAATTTTGGTATGAAATCAAGTTAAGAATACTTTCTGAATTTTGTAATATACAGCTCTGGCTTGTGGTGTTTTTATATGTAAGAAGCAACAGTCTTACCTTAGATAACAATATTAAAACACACAACTTTTTTATTAAGTCCATTAAATGTAATTTTCATGATTGGGAGCCTGTAGAAACATTGTGCTGAGTTGAAAACTGATGAGAAAAGGTCAAACTTTTCATTTTTTCAGAAAAATAAATTAATAGCTGCCTTGAATTTATTTTTCTCTTTAGCCACAGTCAGACTTGTTGGGGCTTATTCACGTTATGATTGTGGTGTTTGGAGATGAACCTCCAGTCTTCTCTCGTCCAACTACTTCAGCATCCTATCCACCATACCAGCCAACAGGGCCACCAAATAGTAAGTAGAATCAAAATTGGATCTTAAAACTCATATAAAAAAAACTCTGTATAAGTTTTTTTTTTTTTTAAATGACTTTACTTTTTTAGCTTATCAAATTAGTGGATTCTGGGGAGATATTTTTAAACCCAACAGCTACATGTACAGATCCCCACCAGAGATTGGCGTTTGGGCTTCCATATGTGGGTAGAAATCTTAAGTTGGGCGTGCTGATTTCCAAAAGGGAGAAGAAAGAATGCGTGAATGCTTTAAAAAAAAAAGATTGTTTTAAATTTTGCGTGCCATGGAATAGCTTGGAGGCACATATACTTGAAAGGTAGTCTTACCTCTTCTCTGCTTTTTGCATCTCCAGGGTTAGTATTCTAGATGAGAATCAATTACAGGATGAACTAAATTATTTACATTCAGAGATTCTGGATGTATACAACTGAGCATCTAGCTCTCAGCTTTCTATCTCCAGTTCATGTTTTTATTCCTTTGAGGGAGTTGGGGCTTAGAGACAGAACCAGTTCTCCCTTAATTGATATATATGAGATCAAAAAATAAATCTGATACTTTAAAATCACCTTAATAACTGAGAGTTGGTTGTACTTGTTTTGGCATTACTAAACCTGTATAGGAGTCCTGGTTTGATGCTGTAGGATAAGCATTGGACTTCTATCTGAAAGGTCAGCAGTTCAAATCTACCAACCGTTCTTTAGAAATCCTATAAAGGATTGCTGAGTGTCAGAATCTGCTCGATGGCATTTACCAACAACAATAAACCTGGATTGATTTCATTTTGTTTAGAGTTGTGTGGTATTTTTTGGTAAAAAACTTTTTTTTTTTTTTTTTTGCTGGTAACAGTAATAGTCCTGGTGTGGCGCTATAGGATAAGCACTCAACCTCAAGGTCGGTTTGAACTCCAAGGTCAGCAGTTCAAACTCACCAGCTACACCTTGAAAACTCTATACAGGGTTGCTATGAGTCAGAATTGACTTAATAGTACTTAACAACAATGTGTCAAAGCTAAGCACATCGTATACATTCCATTTAATGTTCACAGTAGCCCCATATGCTGTGTGAATTATCCCATTTTATTCTGGCTCTAAATTTACTTTTAGCCTTATTATCTGCTTTCTTTTCTGTCTTGGATAAAGTGACATTTATTGTCAACCAAGTTGAACTTTTAAGGCTTTGATATGAAGTTCATTGCTTTTCAAAAACTTAGAAATTTTGGGTAGCAAAGGAAAATCGTGAGAAAATTGCTTATAACTATAGATTGGTGGTTTGTATGAGATTGTGAGAGAAATAACACAGGAAAGAGTAGTACTTGGCTATGTATTTTGCACATTGGGTGTGGCGCTGTGGGTTAATGCACCAGACTACAAAGCTGTTTGAATCGCAAGGTCAGTGGTTCAAGCTCACCATTCGCTCCTTGGAAACCCTATACAGGGTCGCTATGGGTCGGAATCGACTCGACAGCACTTGACAACAATAGCAATCTTTTCATAAAGATACTAGATTGTCCTTTGTGTCTGAGAAGAAAAAACAGTGACTTTTGGAGAGGTTTTTCATGTTTGAAATATTGAACACCATCATGGTTTTATTATGCTTAAGAAGAATTTACTTGTGTAGTCTATATAGTGTTTGCCATAAGCAGAAGACTGTCAGCAGAACAGATTTGCTCACCAACTCTGGTAAAGACTTTTAAGAGCTGTATTCTGTGTTGTAGAAGTTTCTTGAAGGTTCTGCTTCTCTTGCCTTCAAACCTCAAATACCATTTTGTTACTTTGCTGATCCTCTTACCCATTCATACCACTCACCACTCTCTATTGTTGTTGCTTGCTTGCTAGTCTCCTCCACTAGACTCCATGCAACTTGAGACCAGGAATTCTATTTTTTCAGTAGATCTCCAGTGCTTGCCATGAAGTACGTACTAAAAGCTTTGTGAATTCAGTTAATCACTAATTTTTCATTCTGTTCGATGAGAAAAGTTTAACTGAAGAAAAATTGATTCTCAGACAAATCATTTTCAGTCAAGGTCAAAATTAATTTCTTTTCTTCTTCCTCTGTGGTTATCAGCATCCTGGCATTCACTGCAATTTATGTTCTTTTTAAAGAATATGTAAAACAGTTCTTTTTAGTTTGCTGAGTTTTTTATATTTTTTAAAGTATAATTTTTATAGGGTAGTTCCAGGTTTTTGTTTTTAACCAGTCTCTCCGGATATGCTTTGTATAGGACTTAAAATAATCTGAAGTCTTTTAAAGTCCTCAGTCAGACCAATAAAACCCAACTATATGGATTAGTCAGCAGTCTTAAACAAAAACAAAAAATAAACATGTCACATTCTGAGAAGCTGATTTTGAACCAGAGGAGAGCAGAATTAATTTCTCTCAAATAGAAATTGAATCAGTACCTTTCTTAGCCTGAAGACTCCTTGAGAGGTTTTAGAGCTGACCACACTGACCTGTTTGTCACTTACTCCTGTTGAGAATGTCTTAAATGCTACAAGTCATGTTGAATGACTTGAAAATATTTACTGCTTGATGTGAAGAACTAGTATGGGTGAAGTGTTTTGTTTTATTTTGGTATTGTGATTTATATTCTTTAACTGTTTGCGATTTTGCTGTGGTTTGATAGTGATGTATATCTTGATAGTTTACATTTTCAGTACTGTACATTTTACTGAAAACTGTTAAAAAATGTTTCTAGCTTCTTACATGCCAGGTATGTCAAGTGGAATCTCTGCATACCCATCTGGATACCCTCCTAATCCCAGGTAATGAAAAGTTATTTTTTGAATGAAATTTTATCAGTAGACCTAGAATCAAAATAATGCTTGCATTAAAATAAAATAAATTTATTTGCAATTTAATTTTTACTGAAGTAAAATTCAGCTTATTGGTGAAGTTTTATGACACACATAATAAAATAAAAGGGGGCTTCTAAAAGTTCGTGAAAAAATTTTATCTTTTAACTAAATTTTTCCACTAACATTTTAAATCCCTCCTCATGTATACATTGGGCAGTCCCTGGATTATAAACAAGATCCGTTCTTAAGTTGCTTTAAGTTCAATTTGTAGGTAAGTCAGAACAAATATGGTTCTTATAACTTCAGTGGAAGAAAAGACAGAAAAGCCTTTACAGTGATTTAAAGCAATAGACAAAGGAGATTCTAATGAAAATTTCGATGCTAATAAGGTTTGGTTCAGTCTTTTTAAAGTGAGGGCAAATTTTTATAACACTGAAGAAAGGTTTCAGCACTGCCCCAGCTCAAAAGATGGCATCAGATCACGGTTCTTTGAATGTGTGGCTTTCCACAGTCTGCAAATGGTCCAGTCTCATACATCAGACACCTGAAAGTGCTCACTGTGCATCTGCTGATTCTGCATCCCAGGACTTCAACAAGTAATTTTCTTTGTTGCAATTACTGTTGTGATCACTCAAATGGTAAAAATTCATGCCTGTACCTGTTTCACTTTGTCATCTGTGACAGAATTGGTTCAAAGCCCTGTGTTTGAGGACCATTAGGAGTTGTCCATATGTTGGAAGTGCAGGTTGAACAAAAGACGGGAAGACTACTGATGAGATGGATTGACACAGTGGCAGCAACAGTGGACTCAAACATAGCAACAATTGTGAGGATGGTGCAGGACCAGACAGTTTTTTGTTCTGTTGTGCATGTGACACTATGAGTCACAACCTAGTCAATGACATAGCAGCCAACCTTTATTCTCCATTTGAACAACACTTCATTTTTTACCCCTGTAGTTTTGTTTCTTTAATTTCTATATTCAAATTTCCATCTCTCTTGTCCTTTTTTCCTGACAGAAGAGCCTTAGAATCTCTTTCTAATCATTTGTCCTAAAGGAGAAATCAATAAGTCAGTGACTCTAGAGGATTCTTTATCTTCAAACAATGAATATGAGGTCTTTATTCTGGCTCTAGAAAATTGGGCTAGATAATCTCTAAAGTCTCTTCCAGATTTTAAGATCTTTGAGAGTTTTATTTAACAACTGCAGTATGTGCACAGGAAACTAAAAGGCATGGTCTAATTTTAGTATGTGTACTAGCAAGCATGTATTAAAATTGTTAGGAAACTGTTCCTGATATCAGAAAGATAGAAACTGATAACTGATAAGAAAGAAACAAAACTTCAGAGGAGTGGGCACATCTTGTCAGGAGGTGGGAACTGAGTCACAAGGGAGAGAACTGTTTATGAGGATGACCTTTGTCTTCGTTATCTGGTGCTCCTAGAGCAGAAATGCCACAAGTGCGTGGCTCTAATGTACAGAAATTTATTTTCTCACAGTTTAGAAGGCTAGAAGTCTGAACTTAGCACTGGGTATAGTGGAAGGCTCTCTTGTCCCTGCTCTGGGGAAAGGTCCTGTCTCTGCAGTGTGTGTGGTGTTCATGTGGCATATACTTCCCATGCCATTTGTGCTGCTTCTGTGCCTACACTGCTTCTTTTATATCCCAGAGTGAGTAACTTAAGACATACCCTATACTGATACATCCTTATTAACATAATACAGAACCCAGTACCCATGGGATTGTATCCACATGGATAGGATTTACAGTATGTCATTGCAAAGTCAGTTTAAGCTGCAAAGTCGGTGTCTCAAGCTTACCAGCCACTCCTCGGAAACCCTATACAGGGTTGCTATTGGTTGGAACCAACTCGACGGCACTTAGCAACAGCAATAATTTCAGAGTCCTGGTGTGACACTGTAGAATAAGTATTTAAAGACTCATAACATTTTGTAACTGGGAATAAATGTAGTGATTATTAAGTCCAGCCCACTCAGTTTATATGTGTAAAGGTGTGGAGGCCCCAAAAAACAAAGTCCCAGGAAAAATAGGGAAAATACCCTAGTGTTGGTACAGAATACAGAGCTGTGAGTAGAGAACTTGAAGGGAATAAAGGTGCAACTTACACATTTATTCCAGACCTCCCAAAATCTTTTCCAGTCTTCTTTAGTTGGTATTGACTTTCTGCTGCGCTTCTCAACTTTAATATGATGTTGTTTAGTGCCATCCATTTGGTTCTGACTCATAGCCACCCTGTATAGGAGTGGCTGGTGGATATGACCCATTGACCTTTTGGTTAACAGTCCAGTCACAATCCTGCAATGCCACAACAGGACTCCAGCTAAAATATACCATTTGTTATTTCCTTTGTCCTTCTCTCAGAATTGTTTACAAGGGTCCTTCTGTTTTTATTAGCATTTTGAGGGAGAGATGAAATCATATCTTACTTTTCATGTCAAGCACTTACAAACTTTGTCTTGAATATAATAGAAAAATTGTGAAAGAATATAAAAGAAAAAGGATTATAAGAATATTGCAAAAATTATTTCTGAAAAATGCTTAGGTTAAAAACAGATATTTTTTTACATAGGAAAAACTCTGCTTAATAATGTACCCAGCCTAAAGCCTATTAAGTCCATTACGATCCTGTAGGGCGGGGTAGTCCAAGGCTGTAATCTTTTTTTTTTTTTTTTTTAATGTTTTATTGTTAATTATGTGATAGTTTACATGGGAGAACTTTAGCTTTACATTCATCCTATCGTATATTATTTCATTTGTCCTATCGTATATTGTTTCATTGCCATGGTTACAATCCCCTCCATGCATCATTAGCCAACCAAAGGGTATACTCTGCAAACCTGCCCCCTGGTCGTCAGCACACAGCCCCTCTCCCTCTCTGGGTCTAAAATCCCCAGCTGCTCCATTTCTCCACGTCATCGTCTCTTCCTCCATCTCTGGCATCACTGCTTCTCTGGGTAGGGACCTGCTCTCCTCTCTTCTCCCTTGATGGTCCCAGGGACCTCTGCTCCTAGACTGCAAAGTCAATCACTCTCCTCCTTTTGCTATAAAACATCTACCTTTATATTTCCAACCCTCACAGTCAGTCCTGATAACAATTATTCATTACTGTATCACAAGAGACCTATCCGCAAATCCTTTCATCAGCCACACCCAGACAGATTGGATACTACTCAGTGGAGATTCTACCTTCCTCCATGCCCTTTGGATCTAGGCTCCCTCTTGAAAGCTTGTAAGCCAGTCACTTCTTGCCTCTGTAGTGACCCATTTTGGTCAGCAAGGCTGTAATCTTTGTGGAAAGAGTCCTGGTGGTACAGTGACTAAAGGGCTCTGCTGCTTACTGAAAGGTCAGTGGTTTGAGCCCACCAAATACTCTAACAAAAAAGATGTGGCAGTCTGCTTCCATAAAGATTGCTGTTGTTCTGAGAGGGAAGAAATCTTCACATCAAGTATCACACCTATCCCTCTCTGCATACAGGGTTGATAGGGAAGGGCAACTTAGACATTGGCTACCTAAAACAAAGGAACGATAAAGGCACAAAGTGACTGACCTACAAGTTTTGAAGAGGAAGTTTAGTTTAAGAGTGTGCGGGGGCAATGTTACAACAGAACCAAAGGAAATCAAAAGGATAATAACAGAATACTATGAAGAGTTGTACTCCAACAAATTTGAAAACTTAGAAGAGATGGATACATTTTTAGATAAACACGACCTACCTAAAGTTACACACAGTGAAGTACAAAACCTGAACAGACCCATAACAAAAGAAGAAATTGAACAGGTCATCAAAAGACTCCCAACCAAAAAAGAGTCCAGGCCCAGATGGCTACACTGGAGAATTCTACCAAACATTCAGGGAAGAGTTGTCATCAATTCTACTCAAATTATTCCACAAGATAGAGGAAGATGGAAAGCTTCCTAGTACATTTTATGAAGCAAGCATAACCCTCGTACCAAAACCAGGGAAGGACGTCACTAAGAAAGAAAACTATAGACCAATATCCCTCATGAACATAGATGCAAAAATTCTCAACAAAATCTTAGGCAACAGAATTCAACAACACATCAAAAAGATAATACATCATGATCAAGTGGGATTCATATCAGGGATGCAAGAATGGTTCAACATTAGAAAAACGGTCAATGTTATCCACCATATAAATAAGAAAAAAGAAATGAACCACATGATCATATCGATTGATGCAGAAAAGGCATTTGACAAAATCCAACATCCCATTCCTGATAAAAACACTCAACAAAGTAGGAATTGAAGGGAAATTTCTCAACATAAGAGCATATATACAAAACCAACAGCCTACATTACTCTCAATGAAGAGAAACTGAAAGCCTTCCCTCTGTGAACAGGAATCAGACAAGGATGCCCTTTGTCACCACTCTGATTCAATATTGTGCTAGAAGTCTTACAAGAGCTGTACGCCAAGACAAGGAAATTAAAGGCATCCAAATTGGCAAAGAGGAAGTAAAAGTCTCCCTATTTGCAGATGATATGATCCTATATGTAGAAAACCCCAAAGACTCAGTAAAAAAAAAGCTACTAGACCTCACTGGAAGATTCAGCAAAGTGGCAGGATATAAGATCAACAAACAAAAATCAGTTGGATTCCTATATACCAAAAATGACTGTTGAAAAGGACATTAGGAAAGCAATACCATTTACAATTGTTATTGTTGTTGTTAAGTGCCGTCGAGTCAGTTCCAACCCATAGTGGCCCTGAACAGGATTTCCGAGCCTATAAATCTTTACGGGAGCAGAAAGCCTCATCTTTCTCCCGCAGAGCAGCTGGTAGTTTCGAACTGCTGACCTTGCTGTTCGCAGCCTGATTCGTAGCCACTACGTTACCAGAGCTCCTTTATCTAGGAATAAATGTAACCAGAGAAACAAAGGACTTATACAAAGAAAACTACAAAACACTATACAAAAAACCAAG